GATCATTTATGACAAAGCAGGTGTTACGGAGCATGTTGAAACAAAACAGAAAGAATGCAAGTGTTAATAGCATTACATTTCAAGCCAGTAAGGACTAGTTCAAAAATATGAAGACCTGAAAGACCTGCACCATATTAAAACTGTGGGGAAATCAATTTTGCCTTAAGAAAACAATACCACAGCAATGTATCCTGAACCACAGAAGAAGGCAATTAATAGGAAGGTTTATCCAATATGACTGGGTTTTAATTCTATGAATCTGATTTGTTTTGGAAGAAGATCTCTTTTGGAATATTTATTTATTCTTTTAAAAATATATTTAATGACATTTAAATCATTTTAACTCCCTATTTTACATGAGACCTTAATTTGTGCCAACCTACAGTTTGATTAAGTAAGATTTTTCAGGAAGGTAGACCCCAAGGTTGACAAGATATTACTATGCAGGGCCAGGATCACGCTTAATTTGTTTTTACTTAGTAGGCAGTTGGAAATTTTTTGTTGGGTGAACTTACTGGATAAAGGATAAAATGTGTTCTGCAGGTCTGTTTGATCTATTAGGGGCTAACCAGTATGTGCTACTGTGCCGAGTCCTTTGATGAATGAGTGAATGAATAAATGAATGAGTAAATGAATGAATAGAATTATCTGTTGGTCACCATCTGAGAGATGAGGATTCTGAGGTCACAAAGGTGGTTGCATCACTATTACCGTATTTGTCTTATCTTTAGTTACCACTCAATACTTTTTTGCTGATTTAAATCGAACATTCCTTACTCCTGTTTCAGGTGCCGTAACATTTTACATTTCCTGTTCTCTTTTTAATATATCATTTTAACTAAAATATTTTATTGATACTTCCTATATTACTCCCCCTTTTCTATTTTTTAATGGCTTAACTACAGCTGCTAAGAAGATCAGAGGAATATATTGATGTTAAAGCAAGGTGATGCGATTAAAGTTGTGCTTTATGATTTTTATATTTTTCTACAGCTAGACTACAATACTTTTTGTATAAAAATTTGTAAAACTATCTTACACCTGAAGTTTAGTTGCTTTTCAGTTCCTAAGTTTTCTCATACCCGAAGCTAAATACCTCATCTCCAAACCCTAAGCCCACACTTAGCTTGCAAGAGATATACTAGAATTGTAGAGCTGTAGAAGGGATTCAAACAGAATAAGACTGGACTAGATTTTATGATTCTACAACATTTATTATAGAGCCTGCATTCTTTTAAGGTTCATAACTGGCTAAATCCTAGGAAGAACAAGATAAATAAAATGCCAGTATTGTCTCCATGGAGCTTATATGTAGGCAAGTAGATATATCGTCTAAAATACATGTAGTGAGTGCTAGATGAGGGAAGTTCCTGGAGTTCTATGGAGTCAAGTGGATGGTGTGACACATTTCATCTCCCAAGAGGATCAGAGCATGCTTTTAAAAATAGGCAATTGGATCCTCTTAAACTGAGTCTTGAAGGGTTGAGAGCTGTGAGGTACACAAGGGGGGAGGGTTCAGTCCAGATTAAGGGAAAGGAACCTGTACAAACATGTAGCCAGAGTCACAGATGGCTATGGTCGTAATGTGGTCAGTTTAGACCTCATGGCTCTCGTAATTTCTGGCTTGAGTTGTTACCACTGAATGAAAGTGACTCTCTCAGAGGAAATGTCAACTGTCAAAATGTCTGAGACTCTGTGGCCCAATGGAAGAACTTAATGCTTGTGCCTCTGTTCTCAAGCCATTGGAATCCCCGTCACAAAAGATTGTGAAGTGAGGCAGACAGTAGTTTTAAATGTAGGTTCTAGAGTCAAAATGCCTGGCTTCACATTTACAGCCCACCAACTGGTACATCTTTGAACATGAGCAGATTTCCTGACTTTTCTCTGCTTCAGTTTCCTCATCTATAAAAGGAGGGGAGTAATAGTGACTACCTTATAGGGTGCTTGTGAGCACTGAAAAGTGCAGTTTAAGAAAGATCATCGTGGCTGCACTTCCAAGCCTTGTCCTCCAATAAAGTTTTTGTCAGTAATCCCATCTCTTAGTGGCTGCCAAGCTCAAGAGTTGGAAGCAAGTAGTGTCATTTATTGGACTCTTAAAACCTCACTACAAGGCTGCCGCGTGGGGTAGAAAAGATCTGATAGTTGGCTTTCCCGGTTAGACTTTTTTCTTCTTGGAAAAATGACAAATGAACTGATAGGAACATTCTAATTGGCTTGATAGTTGTATTTCTTATTGCAAATTAACAGGTGACTCTTTTGGTTTATCAAGTCAGAAAGCAAAAATGTGGCTCGTATTTTATGGAATCAGTTTGAGGATCAAATAAATTTCCTTTTGTACAGCATCTCTCTCTAAACATGATACATAAACGTATTAATTGTGAGTCTTTCTTCCACTGCCAGCATTATAAAAGGCTCTATTTTATATTTTAAACCAGAATGGGAACATTTCTACTTAAATAGAAAAGCTAAAAGCCAAAGATATTCTTCCAGGAGTTATTTTAATTACTAAGCACCTTTCAGTAGATATTTATGGTTCTTGGACTATGGAATCAAATTTTGTCTTTCTAATAACTACTTGAGATTATGAATCCCAGTAGAAATAATTTGTTATATTAATTAAGAGACACTGTAGTGACATGTTGAATGGTAATAGGAATCAGACAGTATTATTAAGGATGAGGTGGATATATAAAATAATGCTTTTCATGACTAAAATTTATCTTGATTCACTTGCTAAAAATAACTCTTGATATATTTCATTTCTCTGATACTTTTATTATAATTCTCTATGAATATCATTTAGCCTAGGTAGGATATTTCATTAAGTATAAATTGTACTATGTCAAGGCAGGAAATAATAAAGTTATGTGTAAGCATTAACACATCTGAGAGTAAATGAAATAAAATTAATCTAACCAAGATGCCAAGCATAAAAATAAATTACATGGGTTGAAAAAAAATGTGAATGTCAAATAAAGAAGAGGAATTGCATTCTACAACTAGCAAGGTGGATGAATAGAGTTGAGATCCAGATAAAGAAAGTCTTAAACTCATAACTATTACTAGACTTAACTTCAAAACGAGCAAATTTCAATTTAGACTTTTTCTTACCCTGAGCTGCAGCAGTATGTCTCCACTTCATGATGAATACTGTCAAGAATGACAATGGAAGATGAATTAAACCATCAGGACGCTCCTCCTAGGATAGGATGCCATGTGAGGGAAAAGAAGACAAATTCAGTCTAAAATTAATGCACATCACCAGCATCCTCAAAACACTGACTCATAATCAGGCTGAAGTAAACTGTGTGCTATATATTTTTTCAATTTTCAATTGTCAGTAAACATGGGGTTTTTCCAACAGAAAACTAATGTCTCTCCAAGCAGGCTAAGGTAGTAATAGTAAATTGTCAAAAGATACATTCAATGAAAGCAAAAAAATTACACTGGGCTATTTTTATTTAATTTTTTTCATTCAATTTTAAATTATAATTTATTTCAAATATTTTGCAAAATTTTCCCTTAATTAATAAGGGGAAGTTATTTGATTATAGAAAAACATTTAAAATAAAGAGAAATCAAAAGCAGAAAAGTAGCCTGTGAAATGTTTACTACTTAGAGAAAAGCACTGTTATTCCACACCCTCTTAAACTTTTATTGTTTTTTAACTTAATTGTGCCTATATTGAATATACATTCAAAATGTATATTGTATTCTGTATTCAATATATATGTATACATGCATATTGTCATCTATATTTTTATTCACTTAGTATAACATAAGCATGCTTGCATGTTATAACACACTCTTGATAAAGATAATTCTTAACAAGTTCACAGTATTCTGACAAGTGTATACAGTCCCAAAAGATATAAAAATTTTTCTCAACTTGATACATATAAACAAATAGCTTTCCAAGGATTGTACTAATTTACACCATGATGACACCATCATATTGTGTGAGAGTGCTTATTTCACTCTTCTTTCTAACATTAGTCTATTTCTGGACTGTTTGCTCCATTTCTTAGGTCTCTTTATCAATTCCTACACAAGTACCACAGTTTAAATAACAAAGCTTTAGAGTGTGTTTTGATATTGGACAGGCAAATGTCCCCAAAGATTCCTCCTTTTTCATCAGGTCTATAAAAAGTTTATTAGGCCTCACCCCATATTAACATTGCAATTACTTCTAAAAGCAATAAAAATAATCTTGCAATTTTGGTTGTGTCTTATTGCTTCAAGCCCTATCAATGACTTACCTTTTGTCTAGGGCAGTGGTGCTCAACTAGGGTCGATCCTGTCCCCCAGGGGAAATCTGGTAATATCTGGAGGCATTCTGGTTGTTGCAACTGGAGGGGGTGGAGTGCTGCTACTGACATCTAGTGGTTCAAGTCTAGGGATGCTGCTGAACATTCTTTACTGCAGTGCAGAGGATGACCTCCCCAAACGACAAAGAATTTCCCCCAATTTCCAAAATGTCAATAGTGTGGGGTTTCAGAAACCTTTGTAAATGGGATAAATTGAAAATCCCTTTGCTTGGCACAGCAGCCTCTCTTTCATCTAAGTTAACAGTCTTCAAACTGGGGAACATTTATTGATGGTCAGAGTCCAGATCCTCAAGCTGATCTTCTGGATAACGTGCCCAAGTTCAAAATAATACTTCTACATTAGAGGCAGGGGGAGGGGGAGGAGTGGGAAGGGGGAAGAGAGAGGCATATTTTTCTTTTTTTTTTTAAAGATTTAATTTTATTTATTTTTGGCTGCGTTGGGTCTTTGTTGTTGCACGCGGGCTTTCTCTAGTTGTGGCGAGCAGGGGCTACTCTTCGTTGCGGTGCGCGGGCTTCTCGTTGCGATGGCTTCTCTTGTTGTGGAGCACGGGCTCTAGGTGAGCAGGCTTCAGTAGGTGCAGCACGCGGGCTCAGTAGTCGTGGCTCACAGGCTCTAGAGCGCAGGCTCAGTAGTTGTGGCATACGGGCTTAGTTGCTCCGCGGCATGTGGGATCTTCCCTAACCAGGGCTCGAACCCATGTCCCCTGCATTTGCAGACAGATTCTTATCCGCTGAGCCACCAGGGAAGTCGGAGAGGCATATTTTCCATCCATTCCAAATCATACTATGTTGCAATGCCCCTAGGGTAAAAAGAGAAAACAAACTAGGAAGCCTGCTTTAAAGATTAATCAAGATAATCAAGACAGTGCATAAACCCACATGGCTACAACCATGTGGCTTCAGCCTTTTTTTTTTTAATGGAATACAGTTGTATATTTAATAAAAGCTAAACTTATCTCAATGCTTGTTTTAATTTTTTCTAGACATTTCACAGGTTTATGATTCCATTTGAACTCGAAAACTGGTTTAGTTAAAAATACCCCAATCCACTGGGCATATTTTAATTGGATTACATCGACTTTATGGATTAAATTAGGGAGTGCTGATGGCCATGCATTTGTCTTCTTTTATATCCCTTAGTAAAGTATCAGAGCTTTCTCCCCCTTTCTTACTAAGTTACTTGAATCAGATCTTTTCCCCCTTGATATTTTAAAATGATTAGTCTCTAAACATGTAGTTGACCTAATACAGAAGCCCCTCCCTGTGACTCGTGATTACCCATACGCATTTGCCTTGTGGGCTGGTTAGGTCTCACTCATCTTTGTATTCCCAAGTACCGGGCAGGGTGCCTTGGACATTGCAGGGAGGCCACAAATGTCTACTGAATGAAGAACTAGTTACAGGATAGAGGCATTGAAAGGCAGGGCGTGTGAGTTCTAGTACCAAGTACTCCACGTGGTGGCTTCTCCTTCCCCTTCTTTTTTAAAAAAACAAGTATATAGATTATTTCATTATTATTATGGGGAAATAGATGTAGAGATTAAAGCAATTCCTGCCATCGTTTATGTTTTCTCTTACAACAGTGATAAACATTGCTTGAGCAGTTACATGCTTGGCATTATGCTAAGTGTTTTGCCCACATTTAATTAATCACATTCAATTTTTCCCAAAGCCTGTGATGGAGGTAGTATTGCTCACTTTTATAAAAAATAGATGTTAGCTCTTAGAGAAGTTTCAGGTTCACAGCAAATGGAGCAGAAGGTACAGAGACGTGCCATATACGCTTTCCCCCCCCCCCCCCACATACACACAGCCTTCTGCACTATCACTGTCCCCTACTAGAGGAGTACATCTGTTACAATGGATGAACCTACATTGACACATTACTATAAGCTTACATACCTTAACATTTTCATTACTAGCTTTGTGACTTTCAAGAACTGTATAATGCGTCTTGTCTTTCTAGTTATAAAAGGCAAATAATCTTTCGTTTCTGAGGATCTGCTTCTCTTAGTCCCAGGAACTCTAATCCTGCTATGGGCAAGGCTTGGTGTGAGACTTTTCTAGAATTATCCTAGGAAGCTGGTGGAAGGGCACCAGGTGGAAGTGGTTGTACTTGAATACTGGGAGGGTGACAGGCAACTGGGAATACCAGGCTCCCAAAATACATTCTTGAAGTCGAATAGAAGAGTTGACTCCCATCAAAAGAGAAGAACAAACCAAAGACTGGCCTTTTCTTCCCCTAAAAGAACAAAATGAAGGGGAAAAAAAAGAAAAAATCATTAAATCGCTGAAGCAATGAGGGCTTTATTGAGAAAACATTTGTGATCATGTGACATTCAAAGGTGATATACTGACCAGAAATTGCATTTCTAGAAATTTATCCTAAGTAATGAAGTAGAGTTGGGTATAAAGACATGCAAATAATACAAACATTTATAGCATGCTCACAGTGTGCCAACTATTCTGCTATGCAGTTAATGTACTTACTGAGATTGGTGATATAGTCCTCATTTTATGAGGGAAACTGAGGCTCAGAGCAGCAGCTTGCCCCAAGACGTGAATCTAGGGAGGCAGAGTCTAGATCAACGCAAAATCTGTCTGATGACCTTGCCTATGCCCAGTTTTTTCACAAAGAGCAGTCTTTTGGGTTCCACATTTGTGTGTGTGTGTGTGTGTGTGTGTGTTTCAAAGTAATTTTGTGCCAAGCAACAATATCAGGGAAATCATGGTTTGAATATCAGTTATATTTCCCCACAACCAGTTTGAACACATTCCATCTACAATCTTCTCGGAGAGGCCAGCTCTTTGTTTTATGTATGATCACCAGCACTTGCCTGAAAGGCTAACGTGACAACGGCAAGCAGGCAGGACTGTGAGTGTAGAGTCCAACAGGCTTCAAGGTCTGTCATGGATGGAGGGACTAGTGACCAAAGGGAACCTTGACCTGAAATACTTTACTGATGGCATTGGATTCCTGGCTGTGTCCTATTCCTACACTTCTGGCATCCAAGAGCAGTGCGTCTTCAAACTTACTCCTTATCAGTCACTTATGGGAAACATCACTCATTAGACCAATGAAAAAAATTTTTAATGTCACTTATGCTAATTAACACACTCTCTGGTGTAGATATCAATAAGACTACCTTAAGTACCAGATAATCTACTCTAAAAATGCTGATCTGTTTTAGGACATTTCAAGTGCTATTTAACTGTCCCTAGGATGTGGATTAGGGATAATCTGCATTAGGCCTTCATGTACAAGCCTACACACAGATGCACACACGCACACACACCCCAAAATGCTTATATTGATGCAACTTAACATAAATTATCATGCAGACCACAGAACAGCCTCAGCAAATAGGAACTACCATGATTTTCATTCCAGTGTTACTTACAATAATAAAAAATTATTTAAATGTTGACTAAGAATGGCTTGCTTCAAAAAAAAAATCCTGACACATTCTTGGATTTCTCAATGGCAGCACTTTAATATTTTGGGCTGTAGAATTCTTTGCTGTGGGAGATTGTCTTGTGCTTTGTAGGATGTTTAGCAGCACCCCAGCTTCTAACTCACTAGATGCCACTAGTACTTCATTTCTCCCAGTTGTGCCAATCAAAAATGACATTGCAAAATGTCCACTGGGGGCAAAATTGCACTTTTAAAAACGTTTCTTTTTTTTTAATTGAGGTATAATTAACATATAACATTGTATTCATTTCGGATGTACGAAATGATTTGATATCTGTATATATTGCAAAATGATCACCACAGTAAGTCTAGTGACAGTTTTTTTCTTGTGATGAGAACTTCTGCATATGTATGTGTGTGTATATATGTATATACACACATACGCGTGCACACAATGCAATATTATTCAGTCATAAGAAAGAATGAAATTCTGCCATTTTCAACAACATGGATGGACCTAGAGGATATTATGCTACTGCTACTGATACAAGTCAGACAAAGAAATATAAATAGTCTATGTCATCACTTACATGTGGAATTAAAAAAAATAAAACAGGGGGCTTCCCTGGTGGCGCAGTTGTTGAGAATCTGCCTGCCAATGCAGGGGACACGGGTTCGATCTCTGGTCTGGGAAGATCCCACATGCCGCGGAGCAACTAGGCCTGTGAGCCATGGCCGCTGAGCCTGCGCGTCTGGAGCCTGTGCTCCGCAACAAGAGAGGCCGCGATAATGAGAAGCCCGCGCACCGCGATGAAGAGCGGCCCCTGCTTGCCACAACTAGAGAACGCCCTCGCACAGAAACGAAGACCCAACACAGCAAAAATAAATAAATTAATAAACTCCTACCCCCAACATCTTCTTTAAAAAAAAATAAATAAATAAAACAAATGAATGAATGTAACAAAACAGAAACAGACTCACAGATACAGAGAACAAACTAGTACTTATTAGTGGGGAGAGGGGAGAGGAGAGGGACAAGAGAGGGATAGGGCAGTGGTCCCCAACCGTTTTGGCACCAGGGACCAGTTTCGTGGTAGACAATTTTTCCACAGGCCAGGGTAGGAGGATGGTTCAGGCGGGAATGCGAGCGGTGGGGAGCGGCAGATGACGCTTCACTCACTCACCGCTCACCTCCTGCTGTGCGGCCCAGTCCCTAACAGGCTGCAGACCGCTATTGGTCCATGGCCTAGGGGTTGGGGACCCCTGGGGTAGGGGACTAGGATGCAAACTACTACGCATAAAATAAGCAACCAAGATATATTATACAGCACCAGAAAATATAGACATGATTTTGTAGTAACTTTAAATGAAGTATAATCTATAAAAATGTTGAATCACTATGTTGTACACCTGAAACTAATATACTATTGTACGTCAACTGTACTTCAATTAAAAAAAGATCTACTCTCTTAGGAACTTTCAAATACACAATATTATTACTATATTCACCATGCTGTACCTTGACTTCTTTTTTAATAACATTTTCTTCCTAATTATTTGATCACTGAAACCTGTACTGAAGAATCTTCCCCATTATTCTAGCTTAGATGAATATTTACTGCTTCAGCTTAAAGCCTTGAATCACTGAAATAAAACCTTGATGAAACTCCTTCTAGAAAAATAAGGTAGCCAGATACCTTGAAACATTTTTTGCTCACTTAGAATTAACTAGAAAACTCAAAAATCCTTGTTGAAGATCTTTTGAAAATATATCAGCCAATTTCCCTCTCCTTGGTGAAGTACATTAACAGGCAGAGCAGATAAAAACAGCTTTAGTATCTTTGAAGATGGGGAGTCCCCGAGCCTGTGGAAACTCAGGTTTCTGATCGTGCATGATCAAGACACAATATGGACGTTTAGGAAAGTAAGACATTTCTGACCACTGGGAGATACTTTTATCTTGCTACTTGCCGGTTTGAGGCTTATTCAAAGTAGCAAAATCAAAATCCAAACAAGATCCATTATACATAGAATGGATAAACAACAAGGTCCTATTGTATAGCACAGGGAACTATATTGAACATCTTGGAATAAACCATAATGGGAAATAATATGAAAATGAATATATATATGTATAACTGAATCACTCTGCTGTACACCAGAAACTAACACAACATTGTAAATCAACTATACTTCAGTAAAAAATAAATAAATAAAGTGGCCAACACAGTTGGTTTCTGATTATTAATTAAAGCATTTTCTGCATACTGCTTATTTATGTTACTCTCCTGGTTTGGTAGAGAAGAGCCTTCATGATTGGCCTCTGCCTACTCTTCTGGCCTTGACGTTTCTTCACAATTCTTCTAAGCTCCCGACCCTCATTCAGTTTGCATTCGTTTTCCTCCCTCCTTGTATTTTCCTAGAACCCAGTGAACTACCATCAGAAATTTCTCACAGTGCTATTGGTGGAAACTCACCAACTTCATAAGCTGCCTCTTTCTGGAAGTAGATGGGGTTTTAATGATGAATAGATATCACTACTGAGCAGTAAACATCACCCAAAGCTCACACTGTTTTTCATGTATTTTTCTGATAAAAAATGACCATATGATATTTGACTCTAAGCTTCAAGTCAAGTTCCAACTTATGGAACATTCAGTTCTATTTTCCAGTCCCCATTCCAACAACACACTCACCAAGAAGGTATTTCTCAATAATAAACATCAAACAAATACAGCTTTCACATGTATACTAGGTCCTTGTCCAATATTCTCTTCATCCAAGTCTTCTTTCTTTGGAGTCAGTCTATAAGAAAACAAAAGTTAGGTATACAATTTTCACCAAAGGTGCTTTAAAATAGACAACCACAGATGGAAGAGCTAGACTCAATACTAGCAATTTCATTATAATACATTTGAGCAACCTTAGAATCAGTGAGGTGTTCTCAGGTTGGTTTCTGCCTCGAAAACAAACCTGTATCAGCTGCACGGAAAGTTATGTGAGGTCTGCTACATGAGAGGCTCAGACCGTCTTTGTCCATCACTTGTTCCCTTCTTTCCTATCCCCCATCCCTTCTTCCTGGCTAGGTGTGAGAAATCTGGAGCCACGCTGGTATGCGTGATGGGAATGGGAAGGTCATTTGGGGATTGAGGAAGGAGAATTAGCTCAGCATACCCAAGTGTATTGAAATGTGTATTCTATAGAAATAAAAAAAAATCAAATCAAAATGCTCCTCAAGTGTGTGTGCTAGTCCTTTGTTGGAAATTATCTTTTAAAAGATGTTAGGTTAAAATTTAACAAAGTGAATAATTGTTCAATCTATATTCAACCAGCATGCATTTACTAATGCATTTTTCTAGTAAAACAGTTTAAGCATTCAAAAACTTAAGGCAAATTACTTTACCATCCTAAGCCTCAGTTTTCCTTTCACTAAAAGGAAAATTTTTGTTTTTTTGTTAAATTACGTTTCACTAAAAGGAACATAATTGCCTGCCTCATAAGGGTTATTGTGAGATTAAATGATAGGTAATGCATGTGAAGAGTCTAGCACAGAGCCTGACACAGCAAAACTTCAATACATGGTAATGATACTGCTGAAAAATAAGAGAAGCAGCAGCAGGAGGGAGAGTTTGAGCCCGGATGGTGGTAAAGGATCATGGTGGTACCATTAAGAAAAATTGAAAACCCAGAAAGAGGACTTGGTTGATTTAGAATAAGGATGATAAAAGCATATGATAATGATGATCTGGCGTATGAAATGGTAAAAGCAAGTTTTTAAGGTTGCATGTTAGGTGCCTAACACTGCCCTATTAGCCTGGGGAGAGGTTGTAGTGTCTTTTTGTGGACAGCAGGGGGCTCCCAGGTACTGGAAAGCAGCGAGCAAGGCTCCCACTGTTTTCTGTACTTTGCTCAGTTAACTTTCTTATTGCTGGCAAAAGCGAGCTAGCCTCGTTTGATGCCATGGTTTAAGTTGTGTATTACAAAAAGTTGTGTATTCACCTCCATATATCAGAACTTTTATGTTTACTTTTCCATTATACCTTCCAGTCCCTTCTCTTTTATGAAACTGCAACAGAAACAACCCATAGGAATCTTTCCTTCTTAACTCAACATATTTGTGTAAATAGCCATTTTATTATTAATCACACATTGACTTTTAAAGTAAAATTTCATTATTTTCTGAATGGAAAAAGAAAGCATTGTCATTAAGAAAAACATACTGAATGAAAGAAAAATCATTAATTACCTCATTGTGCAAAATATTAATAATGCTCACTGATACCCCACAATCATTGTACTCAAAATTATGTGTTACTCCTTCAATGTGTCTTGGCATGTTTTCTTTCAGTATTTTCTCAATAGGAGGTAATAGTAGTAGTAATAATAATAATAATTAAAGTGGAAATCAAGGCAAATAGGTGACTTTGAATTTTTTTTTAAAGTTTGTATTCCTAGAATCATAAATGTACAATTTTCTCTACTAGGTATTTGAAATCCACTCAAATCCCATGGAGATGGGGTACATGTCAGTCTTTAGCTTAACATTCATCCATCCTTCCCACAGCATTTATGGAACAGTGGGCTGGATCCCATAAATAAGACAAGGTGTTTGCATCAGAAACTCATGGACTAAAGGAGATAACAAAGAAATAAAGTCTACCATAAAAAGCACTAAGAGTTGGAGTTATAGACACAGCAGTGGGAACACACAATGGAGAGAGGTTCTATTCCTGCCTAGGGAATTTGGGGAAGACTCACTAGAATTGCTGGCAGGGTGAGAAGGAAATTCCATGCATAGGAACTGCACATGTGAAGTCATGGAGCAGTGACAGTGCCCGAGAAATACTCAGGAGCAGCAAATATTGTTTGTAGAAAAGTAACAAGGAAAGGAGAAGTCAAATCCAAGTGAGTAAAGAGCACGTCTATAGATCTGTAATACACTTCTCCCTTCCCCGCACTGTCCTTCTTCCCACTATAGGGTAACAGAGCTTTGTGTCATTAAGTTACTAATTCTGCAATTTCTAGACATAGTATTTCTACCAGTGTATTTTTTTAGTTAGTAATTAGTTTCTTTCTTCAAAGAATCACATCTCAGAAGTCACTTTCCTTCCTCTAATTCTGATTTTTTTTTAAAGATTTTTCCGTAATTAAAAAAAGAGTTCTTTGAAAAGTGGATATCTGTGTAATCTTTACCCTAAAATTGCAAACAAGCAGCATCCACTCCAGGTACTACTCACTTTTCATCATCTTGGTTCACACCTAGCACTTACTGTCCTGAGCAATGTGAGTGTACCTGTAGTCAAAGAAATTCATAATTCAACCAAGAAGCCAGGTATCTATGAAAACTTGTCTCTAATCATTAATTTAAAAGAGAGATGTTGTTGTTATTGTTTTATTAATGGAGTCGTTTCAGGGATGTACATTAATTTCCAGGATTATTAGTTTTTGGAAATTCCTTTGCTCTTCATTGAATGTGGATTTGAAAGGATGGAAGAAAATAAACAGTTAGTAGGGACAATCTAATGCAAAAAAGGCAAGAGTAACAAGAAAAACGTCCACACTAGCATCTGGCACTATTAATACACAGATAAATACTCCAAAATACTTCTTGAATGAATGAATGAATGTTGAATGAATGAAAGTTGGTGCTCTGCCCCTCACTTCCACATACATTAAACTCAGTGTGTGTTGGTGCACGTGACTTTAGATGCTAGGCTGTTTCAATATTATATAGAGACTAATATAGTCTCGATAGTCCACTTGATAGCCTTGGTGTTTTTTTTTTTTAGAACAACAAACTGTAACTTGAAGTACAACTTGTTTCTTCTTATCTTCATGTCCATCTAAAATATCTGGCTCTTCTCCTCTATTATATGCATAATCTTTTCTCAAGTGTTCTTCTATTCTGTGCCTGCCAGCATTTGTTGTTTGTAGATTTTCTGATGATGCCCATTCTAACTGGTGTGAGGTGGTACCTCATTGTAGTTTTGATTTGCATTTCTCTAATAATTAGTGATGTTGAGCAGCTTTTCATGTGCTTCTTGGCCACATGTATGTCTTCTTTGGAGAAATGTCTATTTAGATCTTCTGCCCACTTTTGGACTGGGTTGTTTGTATTTTTAATATTGAGCTGCATGAGCTGTTTATGTATTTTGGAGATTAATCCTTTGTCCATTGATTTGTTTGCAAATACTTTCTCCCATTCTGAGGGTTGTCTATTTGTCTTGTTTATAGTTTCCTTTGCTGTGCAAAAGCTTTTAAGTTTCATTAGGTCCCACTTGTTTATTTTTGTTTTTATTTCCATTACTCTAGGAGGCGGGTCAAGAAAGATCTCGCTGTGATTTATATCAAAGAGTGTTCTTCCTATGTTTTCCTCTAAGAGTTTTATAGTGTCCGGTCTTACATTTAGGTCTCTAATCCATTTTGAGTTTATTTTTGTGTATGGTGTTAGGGAGTGTTCCAATTTCATTCTTTTACATGTAGGTGTCCAGTTTTCCCAGCACCACTTATTGAAGAGACTGTCTTTTCTCCATTGTATATCCTTGCCTCCTTTGTCATAGATTAGTTGATCATAGGTGCGTGGGTTTATCTCTGGGCTTTTTATCCTGTTCCATTGATCTATTTCTGTTTTTGTGCCAGTACCATATTGTCTTGATTATTGTAGCTTTGTAGTATAGTCTGAAGTCAGGGAGTCTGATTCCTCCAGCTCTGTTTTTTTCCCTCCAGATTGCTTTGGCTATTCGGGGTCCTTTGTGTCTCCATACAAATTTTTAAGATTTTTTGTTCAAGTCTGTAAAAAATGCCATTGGTAATTTGATAGAACAGTAATATTTTGAAAGATATCTTTTTCTTGTTTTCTGAGCAATAGGCCTCAGCAGTGGGCTTAAAATATTCAGTAAACCATGTTGTAAAGAGATGTGCTGTCATCCAGGCTTTCTGATTCTATTTGCAGAGTACAGCCAGAGTAGGAGCATAATTTTTTTTTTATCGTTCTCTGTGCTATACAGTAGGACCTTGTTGTTTATCCATTCTCTATATAATAGCTTACATCCTCTAACCCCAACCTCTCACTCCTTCCCTTCCCCAACTCCCTCTCCCTGGGCAACCACAAGTCTATTCTCTATGTCCATGAGTCTGTTTCTGTTTTGTAGATAGGGTGATCTGTGCTGTATTTTAGATTCCACATATAACTGATATCATATGACTTTTGTCTTTCTCTTTTTGACTTACTTCACTTAGTACGATAATCTCTAGTTGCAACCATGTTGCTGCAAATGGCATTATTTTGTTCTTTTTTATGGCTACATAGTGTTCCATTGTATATATGTACCACTTCTTCTTTGTCCATTCATATGTTGATGGACATTTAGGTTGTTTCCATGTCTTGGCTATTGTGAATAGTGCTGCTGTGAACATAGGGGTGCATGTAACGTTTTGAATTAGAGTTTTGTCTGGATATATGCCCAAGAGTGAGATTTCTAGATCATATGGTAATTCTATTTTTAGTTTTCTGAGGAATCTCCATAATGGAAAAAAACAAGGTTGCTATTTCTACCACATCTGCAGGTATTTCCTCCACTGAAGTCTTGAACCCCTCAAAGTCATCCATAAAGGCTGGAATCAACTTCTTCCAAATTCCTATTAATGTTGATGTTTTGACCTCTTCCCACAAAGCACAAATGTTCTTAATGGCATCTAGAGTGGTGAATCCTTTCCAGAAGGTTTTCAATTTACTTTTCTCAGATCCATCAGAGGAATCACTATCTATGGTAGTGTTAGCTTTATGAAATGTAGCTCTTAAATAATAAGACTTGAAAGTCTAAATTACTCCTAGATCTATGGGCTGCAGAATGGATGTTATATTAGCATACATGAAAACAACATTAATCTCATTGTTCATCTCCATCAGAGCTCTTGGGTGACCAGGTGCATTGTCAATGAGCAGTAATATTTTGAAAGCAATCTTTCTTTTTTTTCTAAGCAGTAGTTCTCAACAGTGGGCTTAAAACATCCAGTAAACCATGTTTACTGGATGTGCTGTCATCCAGGCTTTGTTGTTCCATTTATAGAGCACAGGCAGAGTAGATTGAGCATAATTCTTAGACGCCCTAGGATTTTTGGAATGGTAAATGAACTCCAGCTTCAACTTAAAATCACCAGCTGCATTAGCCCCTAACACAGCCTGGAGCCAAGCATTGACTTCTCCTCTCTAGTTATGAAAGTCTTAGATGACATTTACTTCCAATATAAGGCTGTTCAATTTACAATGAAAATGTGTTGTTTAGTGTAGCCTCCTTCACTAATGATCTTCGCTAGATGTTCTATATAACTTGCTGCAGCTTCTACATCAGCACTTGCTGCTTCATGTTGTACTTTTATGTGATGGAGATGGCTTCTTTCCTTATATCTGATGAGCCAACCTCTGCTGGCTTCAAACTTTTTTCTGCCGCTTCCTCACCCCTCTCAGCCTTCTTAGGATTGAAGAGAATTAGGTTCTTGCTCTGGATTAGGCTTTGGCTTAAGAGAACACTGTGGTTGTTTTGATCTTCTATCCAGACAACTAAAACTTTCTCCATGGAAGCAATAAGGCTGTTTTCCTTTCTTATCATTCTTATGTTCACTAGAGTAGCACTTTTAATTTCCTTCAAAACATATGTCCCTTTATACTTAGTGTGGAAATAAAGCTGTGATGTTCTTCTCGGACTATAAACTGACAGTCTAAAATTATACAGTGTCCTGCATATCTGCTTGTATATATTCTGTCAATAAAAAACAGTTACGGTTATCTATATTTCATATATACTCATAATTCATTTAATCTAATGAGAGAGCAAATGTATTTGGACAGTTACTAGAAATCTTTTGTACCTTCCAACAACTAGATTTTTCTTGTTTGAGGCAAGTAAGCTTCAGCACCTCTCTGCTCAGAAACGACACGGCAAAATGTCAATGTGCCAGAACTCGTAGTCCTCTGGATGCTTACATCTGCATTCTATTTTTAGAAAAAGGAAAGAGATCAAAAGGATAATCAGATATCAAGGCTCTCAAAAAAGCAAACACACTAGTCCTTTTGGATTTCTACATGTATTTCTCAATCGAACTACACACCGAAGATAGCCCAGCTTCCTCTCTGCTCCATGAGATCTTTATTCTAGGACCCAGGGTGAAGGAATTGCCTGCCCTGGGACATCACTGGAAAACAGAAGAGGGTAGATTGTGTGATGGCGCCTATAGATTGAGCTGGGAAATCACACATGCCCCATCTGCTCGCAGTTCATTGGCTTAAGCAAGTCCTATGGCCAAGCCTGAGGTCAGCGGAGTGGAGAAATATAATCTCCCCACTGCCAAGAGGCAGAGAATATTGTGAACAATAATACAACTCACCATACACACTTAGAAGATGTGATCGACATGATTATACTTGTTCCATACGATCACTGACAATTTTAAATGGTCATCCAACCTATTGGAATGAGCACTGTCCAGCCTGGATTCACTGTTGTAGTTCAGACCTGACTCAGTTTCCCCTGCAATCCTAATACCAATTCTCCTGTATCTTTTAGATACACAGTACTATGATGCTCACTAATGCGACGCTTAGAAACATGTCTCTACAGCAAGAACCCCATCACATCCATTACGTGAGAGCAGAGATAACATTTATGAAGGGCCTACTTGGGGTAAGCCAGACCTACTTGGTTCAGAGCACTCCTGTGTGCTTTAGTTAATCTACTCAGCAACTGAGTGAGGAGGAAAAGATTATTTTCATTTTACTTGTGAACAAACTGACCCAGAGAGCTAACACAAAGTCAAATGGCCAGCAAGGAGTGAAGCTGGGATTTGAAACCAGCATTTTGACTCCAGAGTTCTGGCAAATCAAGCTAGAAAGACAATGACTACATCTTGGACATTCCACAACTAAAAAGGGCTTTTTGCCAACTATTAGCCAGAAAACAGAATGACCACGCTCCCCACAGACTCTCAAATGATTCAAATCACTAAGCTGTTCACTGAAAAAATTACAAATATTTATTTTAAGGCTTATAAGGAAAAATCTCCTTTCTCTGAAGCCTAGAGAAATATTTTTCTTTTTTTTTGCACAGAACACTCGGGGACATTCTGCTTGCAGTGGGAACACGTGGAACCCATTGCTTAAAAGAATAATTGTTCAGAGTGGATGGTTGAAGAGGAAGCGAAGAAGTGGAATTAAAGCTAAGGTTCCCAAGGTACAGCTAAAGAACACATAAAAGAATTGGTATCCAGGTTTCCCAGGGAACAGTAAACAGGCAGGAAAAAAAAAAGTAGAAATGAGTTGCAACAAAGGTAGATATTAACTGATGAATTTATGTAAAAACATTTAGAGAGACTAGGATTCTGCGTAAGGAATTTCAGACTTTCGTTTTGCTGCTGTTCTGCGTGAATTAGGAGGATGACATGTGCATTCAACCTCCTGTTTTTCAAAAGGACTGAGAGAAGGTGTCCTTGCTAAACGTAAGGGTGGAAGCAGGATGACACTTAGGCTAGGGAAGAATTGGTTTAGGTAACTGGAATAAAAGAAATACAAACTTTTAACCTTCTTTAGCTCATTTTTAATGATTCTGCAACTGTATACTGTCTGATATGGTATAAAGGAAAGAGCATAACCCTTGGAGACATATAGATCTGGAATCAACTCCTCTCTCAGCCATTTCCTTGTCTACTATATGACCTTAAGCAAGTCTCTTGCTTTCTTTGAACTTCAGGTTCCCATATGAAAAACAGAACAAAACAAACTTAACACAGGATTTTCGTGAAGATTAAGTAAATTGTATACAATTTATATCTGTATCTATATCTATACTTTTGTCTATATCGATAAGTAATCTATATCTGCATCTATACTTGTGTCCATGTCTATATCTATATAGTATTTAAGAGGTGCTCTATGAATGTTAATTGCCTTCTGCCTTGCTGTATTAATCAATTTATTAATGAATTTAACCAGTATTTGTTAAGTGTTTGTTTCATGCCAGCATGGAGGTGATGAAAAGGTGATGAAGACCCAGGCGCTGTCCTTAAGAAGCTAAAGAGAGAAACAGACATACAGACCACATGATTCCAGAAATCACATGGTTTCAGAAACTTAGCTGAGACTGTTGGGTTCAGGCACTGTCAGCTGGCTGGACTGGGGGTTGATGTCGTGACCTGTCATTGCATCACGTGCACTTTGAACAAATGCATTGAAGAAATATGCTACAAGGACAGGGGTTATTTTTCTTTTCATTAGCAGATACTGTGCTCTTTTCAAGCAGGCCTGATTTATCATTTTGGAGTCACTCTGGAGAATTTCATGAACTGACATGATATTCCACGTTTGTTTCAGCTGCCTGGCTGGTCTACTCAGCTCCTTCCTCCTTATCTCTCTCCCCTTCATCCTTCTCTTTGTCCTGATGCCTTCTGTTTCTTTCTCTCTCTTCTTTTCATTCATTTCACAAAGTTTTATGTACTGCCTCCTAAATGCCAGATACCATTTTAGGCACTATTTTAGGGATATAGCAGTTAACAAGAGAAAGTACCTGTTCTCATGGAGATTATATTCTATTAGCAGACAAGAGAAGATAGATGAGAAAACAAATAAATATACAGTATGACAGTTGGTGTAAGTATTAAGGAATAAAACGAAGGGCAAAAACACAGAGAATGACGGGAGTGGAGGGGTGTATATATGCTAATTTAGATCAAGGGAGGTCTATCTGATGAAGTGACATTTGAGCAGAGACTTGAACACAGTAAGGGAACTAGCCACTCATGTATCTGGGAGAAGAGAGTCCTAGGAAAAAGGAATAACAAAGCAAAGGCCCTGAAAGGAGAACAGTAAAGAGACCAGGGTGGCAAGATGGAGTAAGCAAAGGAGAGAGAGGAAGGAGATAAGATCAGAGAAATGGACGGAATGCCATTTGGGATGAATTATAAAGGGCTTTGTAGGCTATGGTAGAACACTGGATTTTGTTCTAAGTAAGGTGGGAAGGATCTTGAATGAAGGAGCCTTCACTGGAGGATCTTGAATGAAGAAGTGACACGATCTGCCGCAAGGAGAATAAACTAGGGAAGAAAAAGAGGGCAATTATTGAGTATGGAGATGTGTTGGAGGCTATGACAATAGTCTAGGGGACAGGGAGTGGGAAGATTAGGATGATAGGAGTTAGATGCTCTTTGATTCTGGATATACTGCAAGGCAGAGCCTACAGGATATGCTGATGAATTGCATGTAGGGTGAAAGAGGGAGAAGAAAATTGTGAGTGATTCCAAGATTTATGGTTTGGGTGACTGACAGAATAGAATTTCCATTTATTGAATTGGGTTGGGGGTACTGAAAAAAGAATATATTAAGGGATGCAGGTAATCAATGTTTAAGAATGAGATATATTAAGTTGAACATCCAAGTAGAGATACAGTTAGAAGAGAGGTCTGGCCTAAAGATAAGATTTTGAGATGTCAGCATTTCATATAGATCATAATAAAAGCCATGGAAAAAACAAGAATATATATACATATATGTATAACCAAATCACTTTGCTGTACACTTGAAACTAACACAATATTGTAAATCAACTATACTTCAATAAAAAAGAAATAAAATACTTGCATATCATAAACCTGACAAAGGGTTAATATTGAAAATACATAAAGAACTCAAACAACTCAGTGACCGAAAATAAAGAGCCATGGAACAAGACGAAATCACTTTGCAGTGAAGGGAGATAAAGGAGCGAAGTGGTCCAAGGACACAGCCTGAGACGTTCTAAAGTCCTCAAGGATGAGAGGAATCAGTAAACAAGACTGAGAAGGCAGTTTGAAAAAAATTCTCTCAGGGATCACTGTCTTTCATTGCCTGATGTCCAGTGTTTTGAAGTCAGTTCAATAGTATATTTGGTGCTCCTTGGCTGTTTCAGATAGGAGGATAAATCCAGTTCATGTGACTCCATCTTTACAGGTCACAGAAGTCCTGTATTTGTATTTAAAGTATATCTCTTTTAGGAAGAATATATTTGGTTCTTGATTTTGCTTAATCCAGTTGAACACCTCTGCCTTTTAATTGGAATATTTAGTACATTAAGGCTTAATGTATTTTTTGATATGATCTAATTTAGGCCTACCATTTACCAAATGTTTTATATTTGCTCTCTCTGTGTTTTAAGCTGAATCTCTTTTCCTGCCTCATTTTGGATTAATTTAATGTTTTTAGAAGCACATTTTAGTTTATCTGCTGGCTTTAAAAGATAGACTTTATTTTTAGAGCAGTTTTAGGGTCCCAGAAAAATTAAGCTGGAAGTACAGAGAGTTCCCATCACCCCCTGCCTCTCCCCAACCACATAACCTCTCCCACTATCAGCATCTTGCACCAGAGTGGTACATTTGTTATAATCGATGAACCTATATTGGCATATCACTATCACTCAAAGTCCACAGTTTACATTAGGGTTCATTTTTGGTGTTATACATTCCATGAGTTTTGACAAGTGTATAATGACATGTCTCCACCATTTCAGTAACATACAGAATAGTTTTACTGCTCTAAAAATCCTGTGCTCTGTCTACTCATCCCTCCCCACCCCCCCAATCCTGGTAACCACTGATCTTTTTACTGTCACCATAGTTTTGCCTTTTCTAGAATGTCATATAGTTGGAATTATACAGCATGAACCATTTTCAGATTGGCTTCTCTCAATTAGCAATATACATTTAAGATTCCTCTGTTTTTCCATGGCTTGATAGCACATTTGTTTTTAGCTGAATAATATCCAACTGTCTGGACGTACCACAGTTTGTTTCTGTATCCACCTACTAAAGGACATCTTGGCCGTTTCCAAGTTTTGCCAATTATGAAGAAATCTGCTATAAATATTTGTGTTCAGCTTTTCATGTGGACGTAAGTTTTCAACTCCTTTAGATATAATACCAAGGAGCATGCTTGTTGTATCAGAAGGTAGGGGTACGTTTAGT